CCCTAAACCGCTAGACCCCCAAACCCCTAAGATTTGGGTTTGACAAAGGGTCAGCTCCACAGCTTGCCGCAGCTACTTCCCTAAACCCCCAAACCCTAAACCCCTAAACCCCAAACCCTAAAGCCCTAAACCCTAAACCCTAAACCCTAAACCCCTAAACCCCTAAACTCTAACCCTAAGGGTCCAAGTAGTCCATATTTATGGTTTTAGGTACCCAAAAAGGCCTCAAAGTCCTGAAATAACGGGTACTTGGACCCTGAGGGTAAACCCTAAACCCCTAAACCCTAAACCCCTAAACCCTAAACCCTAAACCCCTAAACCCTAAACCCTTAAACTCAGGTAAACCCTACGCTCTTTCGGCTGCTCCGTATCGGCAAGCTCGCTCGTGCACTCCGCCTGGTCCTGGGCTGACCAAAGCACTTCATGGTTCAAGTTGGGCATTTAGGGTTTATGGCTTAGGGTATATGGTTTAGGGTTTAGGGTTTATGGTTTAGGGTTTATTGTTTAGGGTTTATTGTTTAGGGTTTATGGTTTAGGGTGTGGGCTCCGTGGTTGAATGTTTTTTACAATTTCAACCCACTGAAGAATCCTAAGCGACATCATTGGTACTTATACAGGCCTCTCTAGCATTTTGCGTACTGTAAAGTCTTCGAGATCTAGCGACCAGGTTTTGGGCCAAATGCAGGGCTGGTTGACCAGTGCGAAACCGAACAAGCCTAGACCCTAAACCCTAAGCCCCAAACCCCAAGCCCTAAAAACTCCTAAGCTCGACATGTTTCGTCTCCATCGTAGTGAGCGTAGTTCCTTTTTCTGCTTTCACCAGTTTTAGGTTTAGGATCCTAGAAGGAAACCGAAATACGAACTACAATGGAGACTATAGGTATGCCGCAAGTTTAGGCCGCAAAAAGCGTTGCTAAACACTTACAAGACTCAGTACAAACACAACGAATCCGTAGTCAATTCACCAATGCCTTTTTCCTTAGCAACATAAAACATCAAAGCCCTTAAAAGCCCTATAAACAAAATTTAACGCCCTGAAATTACCAGAGCGCTAATTTGTAGCACAAGCTGCAGGGCTGAAGTCCAACACTTCAATCCCTAAATCCTTCTAGACCCCTTAAAGGTGGCCTTATCGAAGCCTTTAGTGTCTAAGTAGACCATGCACCTTGCGGAAGACACCCTATTTTGGAAAACCTCAAGAACAAAATCACATATAATACCTGTTCTGCTTGTATGAAGTTCCTCATATCAAACAGAAGCTGTGGCCCTGCACCCTAAACCCTGAATCCTAAACCTTAAACCCTAAACCCTAAACCTGAAACTCTAAACCCTAAACCGTAAACCCTAAACCTTAAACCTGAA